CTCTCCTCAAGAGCCCCGGGCGCAGATTTCTCCTCTCGCCTCGCTCGGCCGAGTGTGCCGGATAACAGGCAAACACACACAAAACATCAAACAGGCGCTTCTCGGCTAAGTCGCTGAGGTAAACATTTTCTGTTGTTGTTGCGCTCCAGTCATCAAACCGTAGTCGGAAAGAAATAAGGGGAACTCTGTGTACAGTCGCCACGGTAAAAATAAGAAAAAAAACAACTGACATTCTCTCCTGCGGGCGCTGCCCTCCCGTGTTTATTTCGAAATACGGCTCGAATCGCCGTGCCAACCTCTGAAAGACGAGAGAAACGTCCTTCTTTTTTTTTCCTTCCTCCTCGGCGGAGAGCTGTTTCCGCCAGACGGGACACACTTGCACGGGCAGTTTGCACGGACAGGCCCGCGAACTCCTGAAGGAGGCGAGCGAGCTGGGTCTTCATGAACCCGGCACGGCCGGCTGTAGGTCCCGCAGAGCCCGCCCGTCTCCGCAACCTGCCGATTTCGGGGTGACCCGCAAAACCCGCTGGACTTTTCAGGATCAGGATTGCCAACCCCCTGATCAAGGCTTACGGCTGGGGTGGCGGGGGGGTAACTCCAGTCCGCAGGGGCCACACTCCCACCGGGTTTTCCGGCTTTGACAATAGCCGCTTATCAGGCCCAAGAGCTCAAACCACCTGTATATTTAGGAGTTAATAAACGCCCTAAAACCGCTCAGCTCCTGGGGACGGCAGGCCAAATCAAGATGATTTCTGTCTCTGTCTCTTGCCCCCTCACATCGCTGGCCGATTAGATACTTACGACGCGAAACTACAAGTCCAAGAGTCTGTGAGGTTCTGCTAATAAATATGCGTTCCCATCGCGCACAGCGGCCAAACCGGCGCTGGAAACGCAGAAACACGTTTCCTGTCAGTCAGATCCACCTGTTTATAACACCCTCGACAGGGCCAGAAGGAAAGAGAGAGATTACTCGCCCAACGTCTGGAAACAAAAGATTTATTGTTACCTCGTGCCCCATGCCCAGCAACAAGGTTTCTACGTGCTTGAACAAGGCGTTTGTGTTCCAACCACGCTCTGTGAGATTAAAGCTTCATTTAAAAGGCAGGAGGAAAGGGAATTCTGGGAAAATGAGTTGGGGTGTGTTGACTGGTCAGTCTCTGTTGGTTCTTCTTGTATCGGGACGGGCGAGTTGATCCCAGACGTGCTCAGTGGGGTTGGTTTGTGTGTGTGACTGGTCAGGCCCTGACCCTCTCAGGCTCTGTGTTGTATAGGGACGGGCGAGTTGATCCCAGGCGTGCTCATTTGGGCTGGTGTGTGTGTGACTGGTCAGGCCCTGACCCTCTCAGGCTCTGTGTTGTACAGGGACGGGCGAGTTGATCCCAGACGTGCTCAGTGGGGTTGGTGTGTGCGTGTGTGTGTGTGTCTGGTGGTGCCCCAGCACAGCTGACTCGATCTCCGCTGGTCCAGCTGAGCTCCGTGCCCCACCTGGAAATGCTGAGTCACAGGTCCTGGCAGGTCTGCCAGGGTGCAGCGCAGGCTGAGGCTCAGAGCGGAAGGGAGGGCTGGTTTTCTTTTGCAGTGTCGCAGTCTGTTCCTGACAGGGGCAGAGCCAAGCCCAGCGAGATGAGATCACTATTTGGCGGGGTGTGCGTCCGTACCGGGCGAGCGCACTGAGGTCAGTATTTGGCTGAGCCGGGGGTCACTAATGCTGAGTGCAGTGCGATCGATACTTGGAAGAGACAGTGGCAGTATTTGGCAGAGAGACTGGGTCAGTTTTTCCAAGTTTCCGGGAAACTGTGACAGCTATGGGCCGGTATTTAGCGGGGTGGCAGCGATGAGGACCGGCTCTGGGTCAGTACGGGACAGTATCGGGATCGCAAGGTCTTTAAAACCCTGTGATGTGCAACCAGCTGTGTGGAGTTTGCATGTTCTCCTCACGTGTGTGTGGGCCAAAGGCACACTGGTGGGTAAACTGGCCCTGGTGTGCGTGTGTGTCTGTGTGCCCTGTGGCGGACTGGCAGTGCGTCCGGGGTGTACCCCGCCTTGCGCCAGTACCTGCTGGGATAGGCTCTGGTTCCCCCGAGACTCTGGACTGGGAGAAGCAGACAGAGAAGGGATGGATTTAAATAGTCATTAGGGGCCCAGGCTGGAGTGAAGAGCAGGAGACACAGTGTTCCTCCTGGATCAGGACTGAGATCTTCTAAGATAGTCAATAAGAGCC